GCGAGAACCCATGCCCTGGGCCTGCAGAAGGGGTTTAGGTTTGTCTGGTTCAGCCTCGTCTTTCCCTCCCCTGTCCCCCTCCCTGCCCCTCCCACCCCGCTTCAGGCCTGCTTTGCCCTGGTGCTAGAGTAATTGATGGCAGAGAAGGCCGTGTTTTCTGGGGACCAGGGCTGGGCCGTGTCCTCATTTCTTCCACGGGACAGTGTTCTGTCGTATTTCTTCTCTCAGGCAGACAGATGTGTGTTGATGGAACTCAAAGACCCCACTGCCGGGTGAAGAGTGACGTGGCTCTCGTCTCTCTTCTGTACCATCCTGGCACTGGATCGTGGGGCGGGGGGTGGTGCGTATGTGAGAATGTGTCTTCCTGTCTCCGCTCGCCCCCTGGCCGGCCCCTACTGCTCCCCTCTCTGTCAAGCGTTTGCAGATGGGCCTGGCCCTTCTCCTCACCATCAGGCCAAACCTTCTGATGTTGTCGTCCTTCCTTGAAGTTTCTGAAGCAGGGACAGAATATTATAAAGCAGGGGCATCCCCTTCTGGGCAGCTCCCTCTCTGAACCAGAGGTCAGGAAGAGACCCTTGAAGGAGACCACTAGTCTTGCGTGATTGCAAGGTGACTTCTTGGTACCTGGGAAAATGGATAGTTGTGAATTTTAAGGTTCCTTTGGGAGGTGACCCATTAAGGGCAGAGGGTGACAGCAGCCCTACGGAGGGGGCTGGCTTCTGTCTCCTCAGATACAGAATGAGTTTTGCCCCTTGGTACATTCTGATTTATATTTGCATGACCTCTGGGGAAGCACTGGAGGAATAATGCATTGATTGAGCTATTATTAATCAATTGACTGAAGGGTGTGAGAGGCTACAAAAGTCCTTGTATAAGGAGTAAATTGATCAATGTGGAGTTGAGCAAGTCAAGGTGTTTCACATGCTACTGCTGTGTAACAGTCTACCCCAAAACTTAAATGGCAGATGGCAAAAATAATTTTTCCTTTAATTTATCATGTTTCTGTGGATTTGCTGAGTGTTTCCCTGACTGGCTCTGTCTGAACTCACTCCTGGACTCATCCAGCTGGAGGGTCCATGGGATTGGGTGGCCAAGATGGCCAAGGGCACGCCTCTGGCGGTTGGGGTGGCTGCAGACCGAGTGACTCCTGTTTTCTTCTGTGCCTTTCATCTTCCGGTGGGCTGGCCTGGCTTCCTTCTGTGCTGTTCTCAGGGCAGCTTCTAAGAAGGTGGAAGGTGAGGCTGCAAGGCCCTTAAAGGCCTAGGCCTGGAAGGGACACGCTGTACCCCCCACCTCCCCTTTCTCTTGGTCCAGTCAGCATCTGGGTGAAGGGGTCTGAGGTGCGATTCACCGGAGCCCCTTTCTAACTATTTGCCACACCAAGGAAAAGAAGAATTGGGAATTGAATGAAGATCAGACTAGCATCTGGCAGTGAGAGATGGTGTTGAAGAGGGGTAGTAGGGAGCAAAGCCTGGGAGCAGACTCCCGGGGGAGGGGGGCGCTCTGCTACTCCCTAGTTGTATGACCTTGAGGAAACCCTGCAGCCAGCTTGCGTTCCTGGGTCCTTCTCTGCTCCCTGAGGATAATAATAGCACCTATCTTGAGGCTTGTGGTGAGCTTAAAGTGAGTTAATACAAACCAAGTGCCTAGTTCCAAGCTTGGCCCACGGTAAACCCTGAAACAGGTGTGAGCTCTTTGTCTTCGTTTTGTGTTCTCTGATGGCAGGTGAGTGACAAATGTGGCTTTAGGTTTTCAGTTCCACAGCAAAGAGGCAAAAATACTCGGGTACAAGATGTGTGGTGTGTTCAGGCTGAGAAAAATCATTGGTTCAGAAGAAGCTGTGCCGTGTTAATGGGCAAATGCGTGCGTTTACACACTTGATTTGGAATGTGGCAGATTTGGGGAGTCTGCAGAGTGACTGACTCAAGAGAACGTCACGCTAAAGACAAATTCATTTTTCTCCCAGAGCAAATGATTAGAGGCAGCAACCTGTGTCTAAAATTTAGCAAGACAGGCTCAACTGTCAGAAGCCCTTGACTGGGGTCCCAGCTCTCTCCTCTCTCCTCTCTGGCTGAGTGCACTTGGGAAAATTCATGAATCCCCCCAAAGCTCAGCTCAGTCTACAAAATGAACATAGTCCTAGTGCCCCGCTCAGATGGACGAAGAGAGTAAGCAAGCAAAGCCCTTTGTCTATCACCGGGCACGGACTACTCAATGAATATTTGCTTTGACTGTTATTCATATAAAGATGGTCTTGGGGCACCTGGGTGGCTCAGTGGGTTAAAGCCTCTGCCTTCAGCTCAGGTCATGATCCCAGGGTCCTGGAATCGAGCCCCGCATCGGGCTCTCTGTGTGGTGGGGAGCCTGCTTCCCTTCCCCCTCTCTCTCTGCCTGCCTCTCTGCCTACTTGTGATCTCTGTCTGTCAAATAAATAAATAAAATCTTAAAAAAAAAAAAAGATGGTCTTAAAGGAGATCTCTTTTGGAAGATAAATTTTCTGGGTACTCTTCAGAAATGGTTAAGTGATTATTATTATAAACTTCTCCTGTCTCTTTCTTAGAGGGGCATCTGGAATTTCCAGGGCCCGTCCTAAAGCAGCAAGCGAATGTGCCAACAGGCCATCACCCCTAGACATAGCCTTCTCTCTAATTCCACGCCAGGCCCATGTTTCCAAATTAGCAAGATGTGTCCCTTGTGTGGTTTTTATTCTCCATCGAACTCCATGCAGCTTCTGTGGAGGCTGGCAGCACACAGTTCAGGGCAGCCTTCAAGGACTTCAGAAGTCTGTCGACAGCCCCCAAACCATGGGATGCCACCTCCTCTTAGATGGCTTCTCTCCTCATTTCTGCAGTTTCGGGATCCCCAATGGTGTGAAGTCAGGTGATCGTTCTCCCTGCCTCTCGGGAAGCTTCCCCCCCCACCCCTACTCTCTCTGCCTCTTGCTTTTGGGCTGATTTATGGCTTTAGAATGTTGGCCCAGAGGATCTTAATTTAAAGCCTCGGTCGGGGTTGTTGCATGAACATGGTGCCAGTAAAAAGCTGTTTTCCTTTGGTTTTGCTCCTCCGTTGCCTTTCTCAGGGCATGAAATATGAGGTCGGGAAGTAAGGTAACCAAACTGGGATTGTGGGAGCTCTTGAAAAACTCTTGCATCATCCAAGGCAGGGGCCCAAGGCAGGATTCTGGGCCATTAAGCCAACTTCATGTCTCCGGTAAACCCATCAATTTCTGTCTCTTACTCATCAATTTCTGTCTCTTATTTGAGCTGCCTCTAGAGTCTCTTCTGCTGGTAGTTCTAATTAGGTTCAGAATCCCTCCTCTGGAGTCTGTCTGCTCTTACAGACTCCTGTCCCTCTAGCCATGGGAGTTCTGTTTAGTTGTGCTGTATTTACTTTATAAGAACAGTAGTATTTTTTTTTTCATTTTCCCATTTCAAAGTTATATTTTAATTGTGAATGTGTTCTGCTCACCTGCTTCCTCACCCTGAGATGTCTTTATGGCACTAAGCAGACATTCCCTCCCCCACCCCTGCAACAACGAGAATCAAGGGGCTGTCGCTTTTCCACGTTTTTTTCTGGGAGCGGAATCTTTTGCCCATTGTGTGACTTTTCCCAGAGACCGCGTGGGACTGCTTTGCGGCACCGCGTGCACCTGCTTTGTTGAAACACCTGCGCCGCTCGTCCGTGGGTCACTGATGGAGCTGCGGTTCAAAGGTTTGGCTCCTGTCGAGTTCAGCGGCTGTGACTTGGACTGTTTGGGCTCTTCAGTGAGCCTCCAGGCTGCTGATACCGGCTTCCTGGCTCGAAGAACTGTATTTTTATTAACACACTGTTAACATTTCATGGGATGCCCAAGACTATTCCTGTCATCTTCAAGAGGAAAGCTGTGGCATCACGTTCGTGAAAGAAATAAAGATATAATAAAGAAATAGACAAAAGAGAGTAATAGTTCAGGTTTATGATGTGACCCCTTTTATTATTTAAAAAAAACCAAGTGGATGTGGGCATATGTATTTTTTCATGTCATAGGTGCAAGACAGAAGGTCTAGGGCAGGCAGTGTTTAATTTCCGTGGGATTCTGGGGTTTTCACAATTTTTTTTTATACCAAGAAAAGAAACCCAATGCTATTTATTTTTTAATAACAACAAGACAAATGAAAACACAAGAACCACCCAACAGGAAAAGGACATCAGGCAGGTCATAGACTGGTGGGTGGGGTTTTCATGCCAGGGACCTGGCTCGGGGCGCCACACACAGCCTTGGGCCCGGCTCGGGGAATCCAGGTTTGGCTGTACAGACGTGTTCACCGGCTGCCCGCAGCCGCTGAGCACAGACACTTCCTGTGGGCGTCTTTCTCTTCCACTGGATAGAGCAGCACCTTGTCATGGCCTCGGGCCTGTCGAGCCTACTTTGCCCAGCCCTGTTGGAACCTGGGAAGGAGTGGGCTTGGGCTGTGTTTCTAATCCTGTTGGGCGCTGAGCATCGCTCCCCTGAGGCTGGCGGCCGTGGCTCAGTCCTGCTGGGTCTGGGCTTGGGAGAGTGTCCGCACACACAGGCATTCCTGCGTCTGCTCCTCATCTCTCCTGGGTTAGGCTTCTGCACCTCTGCCTCTCGCAGAGCTAGGAGAGGAGCCTCAGCGGGAACCACTCTGAAAACAGTCAGGAATTCCACCCCCAGGGCAAACTGCTGTTCAGATAAGGAGCGGCCTTGCAGCCCCCAGCTGGCTTGTGGCCTTGCTAGAAGGAACTTCTCCAACCTCGTGTGAATGCTAACGAACCCTGGCAGTGGAGAGGCTTTGGGGAGGTTCTAGGCCTCCAAACCCCCACTCCCATCCCCACCCTCACCATGGGGGCTGGTGCAAGGCCGGTGCGGGAGCCACAGCTCTCTGCTGGGTAATTCCCCAGCCATTTGTTGCTTGGGGCCAGGCCGGATCCTTGCTGGGAAAGCAGCAATGATAAGCTACAAGAGTGGGAGTCACCACAGGCTGCCTCTTCTCTTGCAGAGAGAGTCCATTCATGTGACCAGGAGAGGCAGAGCGCCCTGGAAGAGGCCAGGCAGAATCCCCGGGAGGGCATTGTCATCCCCGAGTGCGCCCCCGGGGGGCTCTACAAGCCTGTGCAATGCCACCAGTCCACTGGCTACTGCTGGTGTGTGTTGGTGGACACGGGGCGCCCGCTGCCCGGGACCTCCACGCGGTAAGCCCTCCCCACCCCACACACCCGGAGCCTGTCCAGTCCCTGAGATGGACCCCGGGGGGAGGAGCAGCAGCTTGCTGTTAGGCTAGCTTCACATTACCCTGACCCGGTGGGAATCAAGGCACTAGGAGAATGTTTCTGCACTGTGTCCTGGGTTCTGGTCACAGTTCTATTCCTTCCTAGCTGGGTGACCTTGGAAAAGCAGGTTGGAACCTCAGTGCACTGGTGAGGAGGTTAAGGCCCTGCCTGAGTCCCTAGGTTCTGTAGATCCCAAAAGTCCTGCATGCAGACACAAGGTGACATCGCTCTGCTTGAGTGACAACTGGGGACATGCCCCAACATGTCTCTGTGGGAACATCGCTACCGGGATTGGGCAGCTGCTGGACAGCACAGGAGATAATCCGCAGCCTGCCCTGGGAGTTTTAGGCTTAGTGGCAACAGGATGGTTGCGGCTAGCTGTGGCTCCAGCGGGCTCAGTTCCTGGCCCCTCCTCACCCCTCCCCCCACTCCCGTGTCTCTCTTCCCAGCTACGTGATGCCCAGTTGTGAGAGCGATGCCAGGGCCAAGAGTGCGGAGGTGGACGATCCCTTCAAGGACAGGGAGCTGCCAGGTGGGAGACAAGGCTGCCCCTTGCTGATGCCCTCCCCTCTTCCTATTCCTGCACCTCCCATCATGCCCAAGCATCTCCTTCCTCTGCTCTGGCTCTGTCTCCCCTTTTGTAGGATGGCGTGGGGGGAGGGGTGTGGGGCGAAGCCTCCCAGGAGCCCTGGGACCTGCATCCAGGCTGGGATTTGTCCCTAAGGATGCCGGTGCCCTTGAGCAATTTGTTCCTCCTCCTTGCTCTTAGCTTTTATCTTCATAACGTAGCCATTGGGTTAAAATCGTGTCCTTGCCATCCTGCAATTCTTTGTCCATCCGGGGGTGATTGGGACAGTGTTCCAGGGGCTGAGAGGAGAACTTTCAGGGAGGGGCTGTCCTGAGGGGCATGGGCAGTGTCCGTGGCCAGCCCAGTACTGTGCTTTCACAATCATCCCAGTGGCACAGGACTGTCACTGGGATGTGACACAAGACGTGTGGGCAGGGGGCCCAGAGCCTCCAGCTGGCTGCTGTGAGGGGTTTTTCATATTTAACAGTGTGCTCTGCCAGCGGGTGACAGGAAGATCACTAAATATTGGTGGCTTGGAACAGGGTAGTCTTTAGCAAGCACAGACTCGGACCTACGCTGAGGGGAGCTGGGCCCCCTCCCCACTCCCTGTCAGGACTCCACGTTGAGAACTGAAAGCAGAGGCTCCTGAAAGTCCTGTTGTGAAAACCAGCCTGTCCCGAGAGATTGGAGTCATAGAGGCAGAGTGCCCGCTTCAGGTCCCCGCCTCAACAGTGTGAACTGAGATTCCGCCATGTGCCGGGCATGAGGGTGAGCTCAAGGGCTCTGAACAGCACAGGGCTCCCACAGCCGAGGAAACAGATACAAATAAATGAATACAAGCTGGTATAAAGAGCCGTGGCAGGTGCTCTGAAGGGGAAGAGCAGCGAGCCGTGAGATGTGAAGGGAGACTGTGGTTCTGGGCCCGGGGCTTCTCTGAGAAGGTGGCGGTTCACCAGAGACCGGGTGGGTTGCCGGAGGGAAAACAGAGCTGTCACTGCAGAGAGGAGGGTTGTGGGAATGATCGTAGGGCCCAGTGGGGGCCAGCAGTCATGAATATACAGGGACACCCACCTATCTGGTTGTTCACACCAGCAGAGCTAATGCATGGGGGAGAGACTGGGGTTTTGCCGAAACCAAGCAATGGAACAAACAAGAAACAAAGGAAGGGAGGTTTTATCATCATCTAAGCTGGATGAGACAGAAGTGAAGAAAGGAGATGGTTCTTGGACAGATAAACTGATAGGGCTACTTGAGTCACCTCCGACCACTGGGGGACGTCTCCGTCCCTTGTGCCCCCTCAGCACCTGCTCGTCCTCGGGAGAGCAGTGTTTCTGACGCTCTAGCGTGACCACCTGGTCAGACTCTCCCCGAGCTAGCTGGCGTTCCCAGCAGACTCTGAACTTGGGCGGATAGGGACCCTGTGTACCCAATCCCTAACATTTGACATAGCGCCTCAGCTGATACTCAGCAAAAATTTGTGGAATGGAAGAAAAGTGAAAGCATGATTTTCCATTTGTTCTGCCGGTCCCTTGTGGGCGGCGGGTAGAGGAACTGTGGGGGTTTATGAAACTCATCTGAGCCTTAAATAGTTCCCAGAGTGGATTTGGCTGGGCAAGAAGACCTGGAGAGGTTTGGGAAATGGTGGCAGTTGAAGAAACTGTTTGCTTGATTACTCACCTGGCAGCTGCCTTCACATCTCACTCAATCTTTCAGGCTGTCCAGAAGGGAAGAAGATGGAATTTATCACCAGCCTCCTGGATGCTCTCACCACTGACATGGTGCAGGCCATTAACTCAGCAGCGCCTACTGGAGGTGGGAGGTGAGAATGTGAGCAGGACTCAGGCCCCGTGGGGCAGGGGTGTCCCTGACTTTTCAGAAGCGGGGAGGGGCTAGGCAGGGCAGGGGCCTGTCCCACCTTCTGCCAAAGATCTTGAGATCCTCTCTCCTCCCGGTTCTTTGGGACTTGCTTGCTTCTGCCTTTTAGTTACCTGATGACAGGCAAGCTCAGGGTGTCTGGAGACTTCCAGCACCTTAGTCTCAGGAGTGGATGCATTGGGGTGAGAGTCCTCAGTCACAGGAAGGAGGAGTGGTATGTAACGGGAGCAGAAAGGAAGGACAGAGCACTTAGTGAGTTTCTTCTCTTCCGAGAAGGCAGGAATCATGAGCTTTTTTGACTTCCTGAAAATCCCAAGGGTTCCAGCTGGGAGGTTGGACATTGCATACCCAAATCCATCCTAGTTCAGAAGATGATATGTAGGCGGAGGCAGTCCTAAATGAGGCTGAAATGCACACATGCACCGTGACCAGCATCCCAGCACTCACTCATTAGCCCATTAGGCCAGTGGTTGGAGTACACATCCATCCATCCATCCATCCATCCATCCATCCATCCATCCTTCCATCCAACCACCCATCCATCCACCCACCCACCCACCCTCCCACCCATCCATCCATCCATATCCACCCATCCATCCACCCATCCATCCACTCATGCGTCCACCCACCCACCCACCCACCCATCCATCCATATCCACCCACCCATCCATCCATCCATCCATGCATCCATCATC